ACATCATCAATCATGTGGTACAGCAGCTAACCAATGAACACAGTTAGTAGTCGCAGCTACTTACATAGACAATGTGGTGCACAGTAATAATATAAGTCATATACAATATACATATATCTATGTCATATTCTAACACTGTCCAGTATCAAAGACTCATTTCACTTCAGGGTGATAGCAGGACATCCCATCTAGTCACTCAGAAAAAATCAGGACATTCTGATGTACAGTTTAAAAATAAAATACCTTTGAAATCTCTATTGTATGAGCTATCATCCCTGTTTTTAGATGGGAATAAAACAAAAACTGTCCAGTATCAAAGACTCATCTCACTCCAGGGTGATAGCAGGACACCCCATCTAGTCACTCAAGACAAACTCAGGAAATTCTGATGTAGAGTTTCAAAATAAAATACCTTTGAAATCTCTATTGTATGAGCTATCATCCCTGTTTTTAGATGGGAATAAAACAAAAACTGCTATCACCCTGGAGTGAGATGAGGTTTTGATACTGGACAGTTTTTGTTTTATTCTCATCTAAAAACAGGGAGGATAGCTCATATATGAGACTTCAAAGGTCTTTTATTTTGAAACTCTACATCAGAATGTCCTGATTTTTTCTGAGTGACTAGGTGGGGTGTCCTGCTATCACCCTGGAGTGAGATGAGTTTTTGATACTGGACAGTTTTTGTTTTATTCTCATCTAAAAACAGGGATGATAGCTGATTGCATGTTCTCCCTGTGTTGGCTAGTATGGGTGGTTGAAAAATCTACTCATGTAATATTCTAAGATTACAATACTATTGACCTCATTCAATCATATATTCTTGTTTCTTCCCATGAAAACATAAAACTAATAGCTATTATTGCTCACCATCAGATACAAATACTATACAATTACCTGGTAATGTAGTAATTGTCTATGCCGAGCAATTTGTCAAGAAAATAAATCAACCAATTAAGACTTAATATGATAGGGAACCACTCAATTAAGCAGCTTGAGTCTGTTAACCCAATGGTTTTCGTTTCAAAGTGGATTTTTTGTTCAATTTGTTTTGATTATTGAGCTTGGACATCTTTTTCTCCTTTAGAAACAACACATGGAAACACTATCAAGGATACATGTAAGCTGTAATGCAGAATTACATAACTCTTTGAAATGAAGCTGTCTAATTGCTTACCAAATGTCCTTGTGATCAAAATTGGACGAAACGGCACACAGATATCATTTTGAAACAAGTCCCACGGGCAAAAGCCTTGGATTACATTGAGTTCCTTGTATTTATAGTTTCTTTATGCTTACTGCTTTAGCACATTCAGTAAGCTTAGCCTTGATCTGCCAGCTGACAAGCAGCCAAACAACATACATCACTGATCTGGACAAGATGTTTCATGACATGCACTAATTTGCTCACAGTGATGTGTCATGAGTGCTACTTGGAGTTTGAACTTAGTCCAGTTTCTTAATTACATGTACTCGTCATGCTTAATCATATCATACATCACTTGCATCAAAGTATGTGAGTGAGAAAAGGAAAAAAAAGGTAATTGTTGAAGAGGGAATATTAGTCAGAAGGTTGCAGGGACATAGCTAACAAGTAAGTGATAGTTAATCAGAATCGGGGGTTAGGGTTAGGATCAGAAACAGGTTTATTACCAGGTAGGTTGACACGTACGAGGAATTTGACTTGATGTCATGGTGCATACATACAAGTAAAACAAAAAATTAAAAACACAGATAGAGAACTATTTTAAGAAAGATATAATAACATTAAAAAATAATAAAAAATATAGTGAAATATAACAGTATTTACATAACAATAGAATGGAATAAAATATGGAATAGTTAAACGTTACGGGATTAGTTAACCCTAACCCTAGAAACAAAGGCACTCTTTGTCAGATAAGGGCAAACCTGCTGCTTAATAAACACATTTTAGCCGCCGCGTCATCTTAGATTAGAACATTGCCAATGTCTACAAGTTAGCATGATGTTTGACCCAAGCACAAATTGAGCCACCTAAGCACCCCAGTAGAGAAAAGTCTTGGCAGCATTTGCGCATTAAAAAAAGAGCTGTGCACACAATGGCTCAGGCCTGCAGTTTCCCCCCTAGAGGTGAACATAACTTTTAATCTAATTAAAACAAGAATGGGAAAGACAAGTTGAAAGATAAGGGTGCCACATGAGTCGGTTGCCTGGCACCACTGCTATTCATCTTTCACAGTATCAACCAAAGTTAGTTATTAAGACCTTGAGGGTGACAAGGGTGCAACCAGCTATGGTTTACCAAGTGACAGCATTAAGTAGAGGCTTGGTTTGACAGCTGTAGTTTTGACAAGACTGACAACACAATCTCAACAGCAGGAATGACAAAAGCAGGAGGGGGCAATCCATCTCTCTGGGTTTTACTTTTTCGTGAGTGGACAACAAAAACATAAACACACAAAATGGCAAAGAGAATACAGAAGGCACCTGTCCTCTTAATATATTCCTGGGGCAGGATAACAACTATTGGGTGAAATTGAATAGCAGTAAAAAAAAATCTCCCGTGTGTCCAGCCCTTTTTTTTCAAATGTTATAGTTTTAAGTAGTACATATAAATGATGTGCTTATTTTGTATTGTATTACATAGGGTCGGGGTAGATCGGGAGTTAGACTGATTTTTCTTTCCCTGCTGATCTCAGACCAGTAAAAAACAAACAAACACTGGTGTCATCATTTTTTTTTTCTTGTGACCTAGAATATGTCTTTATTTGAGTTATTTATGCCTGAAGAGCCGACCAGGTTCAAAATAAGTCTAAGAACTTTACCATGCATTATTTGTACATGTAGGATATAAACAAATGTGTTTTCGCTAGAGGAAAGATGAATGTGTAGATGCGGCCTTGTTAAAAACCGTGTGGCTTTAACCCTAGCAGTGCATGCATGACTTAACACCATGCTTAACACGCAAGTACTGTACAAAGCAATATATCATGTATATGTTGCATCTTGCTCAGCTTTGGTAAATACATACAAGAATGAATCACTGTGCAGCCTTCAACTTATAAAGAAGGTGATGGGCTCTAATTAGTTATGGGCTGTCAATCAATGTGTTTCAGGTCTACACCACAGCTAAAAGGTTGCAACTTAATGACACATGGCGCATGGCTGTGTGTAACTAGCTTAATTAAGTTAGCAATGCTTGGATGAATGCATTCAAAATAGACTACAATAATTAAAACGAATGGTTTTAACAAAGTTGTTGTTGATGATCAGTTCATTTTCCTCAAGTTGTGCTGTACTTTTGAAGATAAACATCA